CATTTGCATTTAATTCTTTTCCTATTTCCATCCAAATCTTGTCTTTCTTTCTCACATTCCTGTATTCATCGTGCGACAAATCATACAAACAAGGATACTTTTTCACTATTTCTATCAATAATTCCGTTTTTGCCATTGCGAATTTTTGAAGAACGGCGTCAAAAACGCGGTCAAAGGCGAACTGAAATACGCCGCGATAAAAACGCTGGAACAATCGCATTCGCTTCGCACAAGTCTGAGCCTGTCCGTAAACCGCCGCGTTTTAATCTGATCGCGAATTCATCGCCGCGAAATTTTCGCAGCCAAAGCGAATATTTATTGTGGGATGCTTTAAACCGATACACTGGACCCTTTAATACAAAGAGTCCATACGAGAAAGCCCTGAATACCCTAAAAGTACTTAAACAAAATAAAAAAAATACAATAAAGAGGCAAATTAAGAGGCGGTGAAACACAAAAAAGGCAAAAACGAAGAAAGAACCCCCGGGAGCTGGCAACGGACGCGAAAAACAAATCTTTACAACCTGTCAGCGAGTAGGAATGTAAAAAGGATATTTTTGCTCACACAAACGCTGCTAAAGTAGCTGGTGATTCTGTAACAACGTTTTTGTCAGTTTTGAGAATGTTTTTGACGATGAGCTTTTAACTGAAGTTGGTAAATTATTCCATAAGTGAACCGCCACATAGGCAAACGATCGTCGAAAGGAACGCGTTCTATGCCTAGGTACGATAAAATTGAGATTATTTATGCTTCTCTGGGGACTAGGCAAAGGCACAAATCTTTCTCTTAAATAGGGCGGTTGACCTGTCTTTATAACCCTATAGATAAAAGAATACATGTGATATTTTCTGCGATTCGTCATGTGTAATATGTTGTAGTTATTCAGATAAGGAGTGATAGGGTTTCGATATGGAATTCCAAACGCAAATCTCATGCAACTATTTTGAACTTTTTGTATGCATTTTTTGGTTCGCGACGATAGCGAATCACCATAGACGACATCTCCATAGTCAAAAAGTGATAAAATTGAGGTATTACACAAATAATATTTTTGTTTGGCTGATAAATGTTTTTTTAATTTGTTTATATTTTTTAGTCGCATGTAAGCTAAATTTGTTCTGTTTTTTATATGACTGCCGAAGCCAAGCGAGCTATCAAATATAATGCCTAGATTTTTTGTCTCCTGAACTATGGGGATTCTGTCATTGTTAATAGAAATTACTAAATTTTGTTCAAAATGTTCTCTCTCAGTACTGTTTTTATTCATAAACATTACTTGCGATTTTGAGGGGGTTACTTTAAGATTGTGATGCTTTGCAAATCTGTCAATTCTTTGGAGATCTGAATTTAGTTGTTGTTGTGCAATATGGATTGTGGTTTTATTGACAGGGAGATATATTTGTGAGTCATCTGCATATTGTTTTATCTTTGCGAACTTTACCGATTTGACCATGTCAGATATGTAGATTGAATAGCAAAGGAGATAAAATTGAACCTTGAGGAACTCCTCTTTTTATAGGTTTAAAATCGGTTTTGTAAATAGCAGAATCATTTGCTAACATAACACAGTTTGAACGGTTGCTTAAGATGTTTTTATTAGATTTACGGAGTTCTGCGAAAACCCCTGGTAATGTAACTTAGCTAGTAACATTTCATGATTCAGAGTGTCTAACTCTTTACTAAAATCGAGAAGAACCATGCACGTACTATTTTTTTGTTCTTGATGATGTCTGATATCATCCAAGATATTAACTAATGATGTACTTGTGCTAAAATTTTTCCTAAAACCGGATTAACTATCGGGTATGATATCGTTTGTGTCACAAAAAAATCTAATTTGATTATGAATATGCCTTTCTAAAATTTTGAATGTAGCGGGTAATATGCTAATAGGCCTCAAGTCTGTAAGTTCTTTAGGTTCTGCTATTTTTGGTAAGGGTTTAACAATAGCTTTCTTCCATATTTCTGGAAATAATCCCCCCAAAATACATGTGTTGATTATATTCAGCAAGGCATTCGTACAAAATGGAATACCTACATAACTTTAGGTCTCTTATGGAGAAACCATCATCTCCAATGGCATTTGATGAGATATTAGTTACAATTTTGATTAGACTGGCCCTGTCTAACAGTTGGAAGCTAAGAGAATCGTTAATGTTTACATTGTTTTTGTAAAAATTTATTAATTCTTGGGAAGCAGTGTCTGGTAAATTGTCGGTCTGCTGGAAGTAATTGTGTATGTCATTTACATTTTGTAAGTGTTCGGGTATAGTTGAGTGAGTTTTCTCGCATGTTATGCTGAGCTTTTTGGTAGTGTCCCAAAATTCCTTACCTTTCTTTGTTGAGAGTAAGTTAAAGAATGTATTTTTTTTCTCGGATAATTGCATGCTTTGTATAGTTCCTTAGTTGTTTATAATATTCAAAATGAGCCTGTGATTTTGATTATTGAAATTTTTTATGAGCTTTATCTCTTAGTCTGATTAAAATTCTTATATTTTGAGTTATCCAGGGTACATAAGGTTTTTCGGTTATTTGTTTTATTTATATTGGGGATGGGTAAAAAAGCCGCGTAATTGAATAATCGGTTTACCAAATTTGTTTAACCGATTATTTTATAATGTGCATTTACCGGTTATCGGATCAAACTAAAAATAACCGGAACAAAGGTTATTTTTGTTATTTATCGACAAAAATCGCAATGGATATGGGCGTCCTTAATCCGCCACTTTTGGTTATCTGCGTCCGACTAAATTTGTTTTGGTTAACTGGTGCAGGTTAAAGCCATTGAAAAATAACCTATATCCGGTTTCTGAACAATAACCGCCCATCCATATGAGACTTATCCTTTTTGTGAGATGAGACATAAATTGCTTACATCCAGGACTGGTCGATGCGATCGCTCCTTTGTCCTTAGGGTAACGAGATTGTAGAACAATCTGCAATAAAGTAAATCAAAGATCCTCACAGCAACCGCAGTGTCCTGCCTGCAGAGCTTCATCGGTGTAAATTTTTTTTGGGAAAGACTGGCTTAGAGGAAGATTTGGGTACCTGCCCAACCAACTTATAGATACTTTTTCTTCTTTCTAATTTATAGGACGTCTTGAAGCGACAACTTCTAAATAAATAAATGTCAATTGACAGTGGGTAAACAAACTCTTGTTTTCAAAGGCAACTTGATATTATTTTGTGTTTGTTAAGATTCAAGCCAATGAATTGTGTGCAAAACCTTTCTCACATACAAATTTAGGATTTACCAGCCTTTCTTACCAACCGATGAGTTGTGGAATTAGCCTTGGACTGTCAGCGAGCTTTTACCAGTTATATCAGAGTTCCCCAAACTTTTTTGTGTCGTAGACCCCTTTCCGTGTTTTTTCGTGTTGGGTAGACCCCCTACTTACCTGATATTGATTTCCTGTAAATTTCTAACTGTAGTGAAGTGTTAAAAACTTAAAGTAAAAACACATGTTAATTTATACATTTATCAATTGAATTTAAATTAACACTACTCAAAATAAAATTTTGTATCTGTTATGTAGAACATACGTAACATTAAATAAATAGGTGTCTGACCAATAAGTGCCCGCATTGGGAATAAGTGCCCGCATTGAAAAAAAATAAGTTGGATAAAATAAAAGAAAGTGAAAAATAATAAAAAAAAAAGTTTTTTACTTAAAATAGTACAATAAGCGAGTTCGTTTATTAATTATAACATAAACGTATGTTCTACAATAATTTCACTGTTAGTTTGATTAAATTCCGCTTCTTATACGTTTAAATTATCTAAAAATAGGCAAAAAATTAACGAATTTTAGTGTGTACCTATCCTTGAATTTTCAGAATAATTTAAACAATATTTTTTTTTCTATAAAGGGGTTTCTTTAAAAAAATCAATGCGGACACTTATTCCAAATGCGGGCATTTATTGATCAGACACCAATAAACATAAAATAATCTATAAATAAAATAACATAAGCAATAAGTCAATATTTTTAGTGAGAAGGATGAACCTGATGCTTTAATAATAAATTATCAACATTTGGCGTCAATTTTGTAAGGGTTAATCTTAAAACTCCTCGGCTAATGATGTCCAGTCTGTTTCTTTTTTTCGTTAGGAGATTGGTAACAGCGCTGAACCCCCTTTCCACTAGGTATGACGATGGAAAGGAAATTAAAAATTTCCTCGCTATATTCCATAATACGGGATAAGTCATGGGTATGTTGTTTTGCAGCCAGAATTGCTGATATCCGTTTTTAAACTGAACCTTAAGTTATTCGTTTGTACTTAGTTCAGTCAGTTCCTCTTGTATTATGACATTCGTTTCTTCTATGTCACCATATGGATTAATTATCCGTGGTGGTATTACGATAGTCAAAATATCCTCAAACCTAGATTCAAAATCTGAATAGAGGGCATTTAAATGTTGAACGTAACTTGAAACGTCGTCTTCCTGGCAGCTTGTATGTGACAAATTGGGGAACTGAGAAAATTCGCCCCGTCCAATATTTTGCTTCATTAGTTTAACTCTGGCAAGAAACGCTGATAAGATGGACTTTGTTTTAATCAAATTTAAACAGTCGCCTTGTAATTGCAAATTAACCATATTAAATTTTGTAAACAAATCTGTTAAATAGGCGATGTCTGTTTCCCTCTTCATTAAATTTTCTTTTAAAATTTTATCTTTAGTATCCAGAAATTCTAAAATGATCTCAAAAAGTGCAAAAAATCTTGTCAAACATAAGCCTTTCGACAGCCAGCGTACTTCAGTGTGAAGGAGTAATTGATGAAAGTGTTCGTCATTTTCTTCATACAACTGCGCAAATAACCGCGTATTCAACGCGTTGCTTCGGATTCGGTTTACTGCATCCATGACTAAATGAAGAGATTCATGCAATCTAACACTCAAATTTTAAGCAACTAAATGTTGTCGATGGATGACTCAATGTATTGCTAACACCCCTGACACATTTTGTTTTAAGTAGCTTATAAATCCACGATAACGTCCAACCATGGCAGGTGCTCCATCTGTAGTTACTGATATTATATTTGATAAAGGAATTGCTTTTACAATGAAGTAGTCCTTCAAAACATGAAATATTGATTCACCTTTAGTGTCGGTTATCAAAGTTCTTGCGAAGAGCAGTTCTTCGTAGATTTCTTGATTCATAATAAAACGAACATATGCCAATAATAATGCTGCTTTATCAGGTAAAGTTGACTCGTCCAGTTGTATAGAGAAATGGGTCGTTTGCAAATAATTACATAAGAAGCTTTCAATATCAGAACTCATTTCATCAATACGTCTTTCAACAGTATTGTTGCTTAAGGGAATTCTTTTAATGATATCAGATGTAGGTTTGTGTAAAAGTTGTTAAAACCTCTTCAACGGCTGGCAAAATTAACTTCTCTCCGATAGTATGCAGTTTTCCGGATTTTGCTATAAGTAACGAGATATTTTAAGACGCCCGCAAACCATCATCATTTCTTTGTGACGTCGAAGCGAACATTCTGTCCAGTGTAGGTCTCTTCTGAAATTTATCTTTGAGTGTTTGAAAGGATTTCAAATCTTTCTGTTTTATCAGGGTGACATCTTCTCAGATGATATTGCTGTTTAGATGGTTTCATAGCGTCATTGCCCAAAACTTTGTTGCATAAAAGGCACATAGGCGATTGTTTGTCCGGCAATGATGGAATGAAGCCAAATTTCAAATAATCAACACTGTACTGTCTACATTTCTTTTTAGATTCGGACATGTGGGAAAAATTATATTATTTAAATAAGACAGAAAATCCAGCAGCTGTATATTAAAAATATTTTTTGATTTTTCCGAAAACATTCCATAATTCGAACATCTTCTTGCAACAATTAACTCGAATTACGGAGATTGCACTGTAATTATATTACCGATTGCTAAAACTTTCAAAAAGAAACTATTGAGGAGTACTCGTGTAATTTTGCATGATTGAATATTTAACTACTAATAACTAAAGTCATGATTGGCGTAATTTATGTATCTTTGCTAACTACGAGTACAAAACTAGAATTTAATAAAAAATAATGTACTACTTTTCTCCAGCACTCTCAAACAAAATAACACTGACTCACTATAATTTGTGTGATATACTATCTGTTTATATTTTTTAAAATATTTTCTTAGCACTTTCCTTTTCAAGATTCAGGAAACGAATAAACGTATTTGTCCCACATAAGTATTTATAGAGTGACAAATTGAACAAGTCAGTGCAAGGTAGCGAAGCTCTGAGACTGCGACTCTCAGGTTTTTACAAGTTCAAAATGTATTGCTACCACAAAGCGAATACCAACATCCTACAACTTACACAGTTTTATAAACATATATAATAAATGTTTTACTTCATAGGTAGTTTTATAAATAATGTATATGTTTTGACATTATAAGATAGTATGATGTAAGTAAATAGGTACTATCAGTGTATGTGTTGAGATCCACTATCGTGGACCCCCATATTCATTTCATGACCCCCAAATTTTTTTTCGCTGACGTAGACCCCTTGCAGGTTGCCATAGATCCCTAGGGGTCGATATAGACCACTTTGGGAATCAATGAGTTATATAGTTGTTGGAGGACACACAAGTACCAAATAACAATTCAATACTGTTCTTCTTGTGAGTCTGCATCATTTGGGTACGCCTGATGCTGTTTTGTCCCACAACTGGATACCTATACATTCTATCGATTTCCAGGGTAGGTCTGGGACGTTGATATAAGCACATAGAGCAAATCAAGGTGAACTCATTCTATCAATAGAAAGTGCATTAAGTATTCCATTAGCTAAATCAACATTTACATGTACGTACATAGAGAGCTCGGAGGTGATTGCAATTTTACGTTCTGTTAAATAACGTATAGTGTTTTGTATAACAGAGCAAGAGCTTGTGTTGTTCAAATATGCAAGGTGTCTGTACTTTTGAGTTCATCCAGTGCCTTCCAGCATGAGGTGGCACTGCTCTTTATTAATGATAGGGTATTACTAAATTTCATAATTTATTGATCTATTGAGCTTGAAACTGCATGATCCTGGAAGTACAATTTCTCACATATACCTTTCTTTCTTAGCGACTTAGTATTGTGTTGAAATCCGTTGGACACCAATGTTATAATATTTTATTAATGACGATCTCAGAAATTTACTCATAAAATATCGTTGCTCCCTCGTAACTTTGGTTTTTAGTATCTGCTCATAGACAACCAGCGATGATGTGGGGACGTCCTCCTACTTTTGTATTACTTTGATACGTTTTTCTTTTTTTGCCTTTGCTTTGCTTTCCTTATGCAAATACAGGGTGACTTTGAAGTTGAGTCATTAATTTTCAGATAATGATTGTAGAAGGAAGATAAACCAAAATATGTGTGTAAAAATAAAAAAAAAAATTTACCTTGTTTTATAAAGTATCCTCCCGACAAGTATTTCAGTGCGGACCTGTATTTGATCGTGAGGTCTTGGAGCACCGGCATGCCGTCCCCGGTGAGGTCTTAAGTCACCTGATTCACGAGCCCGTTGTACTACATTAACAAAGGCACGAGGGGTTGGTTGCACTCGATAGGGAAACCGATCCGCATAAACATGTGCCATTTTTTATTTCGTTTGAGCCACGCAACAGACACCACTATTCACTCACGCATTACCGACTGACACTGACTGTATACAACTGAATAAAATAATTGTAAAAACATCGTTCCAAGTTCTTTCGCTTTTTTGTTTCCGATGCGATGAACCGATAAGGCGGATTATATCCTGTTGCCAAACACGAGCACATAATATTATTATTGAGACAGGGCGGTACTCAAACTTCCAAAGGGCTATAACTTTGTTACCTTAATTTTACCAGAAAAATGGTAAAGGAAAAAAACATTTCTTTTGATCAGATCTACTCACTGTTAAAATAAATGACTCAACTTCGAAGTCACCCTGTATACATGGTTTTTCAAGTTTTATCTTATAAAAGAGTAGAGAGTATATTTTTTTGCTGGATTTTTTTTTTGAGTGCGAAACAAGCGAAACCTTGTGAAGTTCCTTTCGACACTGTCCACTACTGGCCACTGATTTTTATCAAAAAGCCTTAGCTTTTACGAGCTAGAGTCATGTCGCGTCTAGAGCTGTGACTGGGAGAAGTTAACAACCCACCTAAGTTTAGGTTTTAGTTTTCTTATGACTCAATAAATTTTTCTGGCGCTATAATATTTTTAAAGCCTATCGTGTTCGTATACCATGGTAAACGTTTAGCAGGGTTATTATCGCAGAGACATTTTCTTGAGCTGCCACTTTAAATATTTTTTTTACAAAGCAGTGGTGGAACGTAGTATTATTGAACGTATGTGTTAATTGCTAGTTAACATATTGTGATTGTTTAAAGTATCTTGCGTTTTATTTGGATCTCTGTACTTAGTTTGACGTCATTGCTATTAGATTATTTCCTTTTGTGTGGGTGGTCAAGCAAAACGAGATCCGATTAGTATCTTGACCTCCCTTACTCTCCGCTTTATTGAGCTAGTGCCTAAATTTACATGCCACTAGACGACTAGACAGTTGTTTTGCATTGGCTGATTATTTATCTTGATTTATTAATTAATTAAAAAAGGAGACATACTACAATTACCTTTTATTTATAAAAAAGGCTTGGCAGTAATCACAAAATATAAATATGTGTTGCGCAATTCCTCTGTGGAGACATACGCTCTTGAAGGGCATTACTGCAAAACGGTTTTTCTTATATATTTTTTGAGTTCCAAACTGTAAATTCTTTTTTGATCTGACAAATGACTGCGATATATTTGCACCATCTATAGGCTGCAGTTAACCTACATAATACAGATTTCATCATAGAGACTACGCCTACACTGGACAACAAATTTTAGTTTTCTAATTGTATCTTGTGGGAAAAGTGCACTTCTTTGTTAATTTTGGGGCGCTGAATCCAAAAATGAAAATGAAATAAAAAAAATTGTTGCGGTTTAGAAAAAAAACTTTTTATTAGGATATATTAAAAAAAGTAACAAGATTCATATACTTATAAGAATCACTATATGCGCTGTCTTTTTGCTGTTCTTTTTTGGATCGTTTCTGGAGCATCTCTACCAAGAGTCCAACAGTAGTCTGCAAGCATGGAAGGATTCCACTTTCCCTGGTACCTTTTTTCCATTGTTGAAATATCCTGATGAAGACGTTCGCCGTGCACATCAGTTACGGCTCTGCATTTGTCAGGAAAAAAGTCCAGGTGTGAGTGCAGGAAATGTATCTTAAGAGACATATTACAGCCCATCTTGTGATACGATGACAGCATATTTTTGACAAGGGTTTTATAGTTGCCAGCTTTTCTAGTTCCTAAGGAATTAGTGACCATCAGACGGAAATCATTCCAAGCAGTTTTTTCAATACCTGTTAAAGTGTTTTCAAACTGTGTATCTTTCAAAATATTCCGAATCTGTGGCCCAACAAAAATACCTTCCTTAACCTTTGCCTCCTTAGTCTTGGAAATTTCTGACGCAGGTATTGAAAAGCTGACCCATCTCTATCTAATGCCTTGACTAAGTTTTTCATTAGGCCCAACTTGATATGCAGTGGTGGTAATAATTTTTTTTTCGAATCTACTAATGGCACATGCTGTACATTTTTTTGACCTGGCTCTAGGAATTGACGAACAGGCCAGTTTTGTCTGGTGTAATGAAGTGCCTTTGGCCGACAATCCCATTCATACAAAAAACAGCAAAACTTTGTGTAGCCTAGCTGCAGCCCAAGTAAAAGTGCAACAACTTTCAAATCGCCACAAATATGCCATTGGTGCTCATCGTATTTTATGCATGTCAATGGGTACTTCATATTGTCATATGATTCTTTCATGTGAACTGCATACCCTACAGGAAGAGATGGTAGAATATTTCCAATATGCAATAACACTGCCTTTAAACTCAATGTTGAACTGTCTATAAACAATCTCCATTCTTCTGGGTTATAGTTTATATTTAAAGCCGCCAGTAAGCCGTTAATGTTACTGCAGAAAACCAAGTTATTCTCCATATTAAAAAATGGTTCTAAGTCTTTGTGGCGTTTACGAAAAACACATACCGAAACATCGTCTTCTAACAAGTTCGACTGCTGCAGTCTTAATCCAAGTAACTCTGCCTTACATTTTGGAAGTTCTAAATCTCTTACAAGATCATTTAATTCTGACTGTGTTATTTTGTGCGGCTGGTGGCATGACGTGCTCGGTATAAAATCAGGATCTCTTGAAGTTGATGGCATATCTTCTTCCTGACGAATCACTCGATCGCCATGATCTGATTCGTTTTCTGATTCGCAAGTGTAGGATTCTGGGGGTTTTGGAATAGGATTTTCGTCACTGTGAGGCACAGGTCTCATCGCAGATGGTATGTTTGGGTAGTTAATAACCGATTTTTTTTTCTTGGTCATACCTGTGGCTTGTCCAACACAAGGTACCATGCAAAAGTAACAATCATTAATATGATTTGTAGGCTCT